GAAGAAATGGAAAAAGAAAGAAAGAAAACAGACTATTACCCTGGTAAAATGATGACAGTGCATGGGAAGGATTGACATAAAAGAGCAAAAAAAGGTAGCTTTCTTAGAAGTTAAACAGTCACGAGAAAAGCTATTTTCGCTGCTATTTGGGAAAGGGACTTCTGAATTTAAAGAATACTGCAATAATCTAGTTATGTGATTTAAGATGAAATAGAAAGCTAAAGTATATGTTGTCACTTTTTTCTTTAATGAAATGCTACACTTAAACGTCTTCATTTGAAAATAATCTGTATGTGGGTTTTTTTAAAAATAGCATCAATTTTGTAGTTAGAAGAAAAAAGGTTCACAGTGTGCTTATGGCTGACTGAATCTGGAGGTTAGCTAAGATGTTAACCCTGCTTGTAAGTCCAGCAATGCATTTGAATGCAGTCTCCATAAGAACGCTGATGTAATTCATACCTTTAGACTTTTTTGATTCCAGAGGTTAAAAAAAAATTGCTGGTATATTCAATGCTTTGTTAAAAGAAGAAATTGAGAATACAATTGCATGTTTTTCTTTATTAAGAAAAGCATAGAATTCTGTTTCCTCACATATATAAAGAATCAAATAATTCAAGATGGTTTATTTCATCATAATCCCAGGTCTCTTTTGGCTTTTAGACTTTTCTCTGTTGTTTCTCAGGATCACACTGTTAGTGCCCCTGTCCTGATATTTTCTCAGCTTCACTTTGCTGCCTGTACTTTTTAATGTACCCTTGTTTAGGGCAATGATTGTCCAGTTTGGTGGTATTATTGTAGCTACCTGATTCCACAAGCAGCTCAATGGCTTTTTACATCTTAATTAAGGGTAACTTCAAAACATTTAAACCAAACTATAACTTTATGAACACCCTCTGCAAGCAATTTTCACAAATAACTCTATTTCTGCCATAGGGTGTTATTCTGACACAATATTCAAAATTTTACCTCCAAAAAGCAGGACCCACATATATTTCTGCATGGGCAAACCACAAACTGAGTGGCCAGTTTACTTAGTCCGTAATACACCAAATGGTTATTTGCAAGCCACATCAGTACAACTGGCTAAATTTCCTCCAGCCCTATCACTAACTCCTAGCTGCTGTTGTTTCCAGAAGCCCTGAGAAAACAGCAAAGGCATAGGCACCTATTGCACATGAACAACGTGGCTGATCTTCACTATGGTACAATAAATCAAATGTTTTAATGGGATCACCCCCCTCATTTAATATATGTGAAGCCAGCCGACCAGCCATTCTAGGAAGGGCAGCTTTAGGCCACATTCAGACAACTTACTTGGCACAAAGCCAGAGCAAAGGAGCAATTCAATTCAAGCAAACCTTCCTTGAACTGATAACAAGATTTTCCACCATCTTCATTTACACCTTTTGAAAGATTATTTGGTTGAGACACTTTAAAGGACAATTATCAACATACCCCTTGCATCTGCAAATCAGTTGTCTGAGCATGACAGAAATTCATATTGAAAAAAAGTCACCATTAAACTAGCAGTGGACACATTTGAATCAGCTGTAAAAGTAAAGCATAGATGCCAAAAACTGAGAGTCAGGTCAATTTTTTTCAACCAAGAAGCAGTTCCACAGAGCCAGGAGAAATTAAGCTAAGCCAAGCTTCCATTGCAGTTTACCATGGAGTATTTACAATGTGGAAACACAAAGAATATGGCTGTCGAACAAGGCATACAGGACTTTTCTGAGCAGTAATTTCTCAGAGAAATTAATCTCAAGTTGAGACAATGACTCTTTCTTAATTACTTTAAATTAAAATTACTTTGCTATTTAGGTCACCTGAGTATATTAAAACAGTCAAAGATTTACAGTCAGATGTAATTACATCAAACTTTCTAAGGGATTTCCAGCTGTTCTCTGGAATTAATGCATAGCATAAGGATAGCTGACTGGAGTTTTGTACATGATAGCATTTTTTATATGTGTTTGCATTTAAAACATAGTCTATATAAAATACAGACATTTCAGATTTAACTTGCATGCTATTTTACAAGGGAAGAAGCGCAGAAGTTCCAGTTATCTGATGTCTTGACATTGAATTCTGAAACAAGTTATTGCTTTAATTCCAGACTAACATGTTCTATAACCAAAACCAGGGAGGGATGTTGTCTAATTTTTAATTTTGTTCTTTTGCTTATGAGCCTGGTACTGAGCTTTATCAAGGGTCTTCAGTTCCTTTAATCATGGTGGGAAGTGTCAATGTGCATCCTTTTGTGGGTTCCAGCCTAAGGACTACTTTACAGTAGAACAGGGTCTTACCTCTGTGTGGCCCTTCATTTAGATTTATTTTGGCAGTGGTCCAGAATATCTTCCAAAATTGGTATAGGTGTGGTTGGAACGGTTTTCCTTCTCTATTTGCTGCACAAAGCTAGCAAAAGCACAGATGCTCTGATTAGGATGAGATTACAACAAGGACACAGTGGCTCCTCCACTCTCCAAGATACATGCACAGTGTTGATTAAAAAAGAAATCTTGTATATATGTTCATGTTTCCTTGCTAGCCCTCGCCATCATTCTGATGCTGTCACTCCGTGGCAACTGTCTCTCACACTGTCACAAAGATGGAGGAAGGAGCTCTCTGCAAGCCTCAGACTCCAGAGGCTTCTCTTACTTTTCCATAGGTCTTTGCAAGTGGCTAAAGCTGTTTTCAAGATGATACATTTTCAGGATGTCAAAAAATTTATTTTTTTTTATTTTCACTTTGAGGCCTTGGTTCCTTGTCTTTGTCAAATCCTGACCTCAAGAGAAATCTTTTCTGTGATGATGGCAATTTTTTAAATTTTGAAAAATAAGATATTAGTATGGGGATTTTAGATACATCATTGAATCACAGGTGCCTAACAGATACTAGACTTGTGAAAAAATTAAATTATTCTCTTCATCTTAAAGGAACTTCTGTTGAAACTCAAACCCCATCAGGTAAGGCAAGCAAAGTGTGGAGCATTATAAAATATGGCAATAGGGCCTTTTATGCTATAGCCATCACGCTTGTCACTTCCTTCTTGTTGTCCCATCATTCAAATATCCTCATGAGAGCTGCCAAGCTAGTCACTGAATGCAACAAATTCTTGTTGTGAAGAACTTTCCTATGTTCCCATGTGTCCATTCTTCTCAAGACAGCACAATTTAGGTGATACTGCTTGTGGATGCCCACGGATTCAGAAAACAACTACCTTCTTTCAGTCTTTTGGGCCAAAAGGCAAACAGAGTGCTAAATAGCATCACCACAAGAACAACAACAACTGCGTTGGAAAAGAGTAATGAGGTGGTCAAGCAACAGAGGAGGAAACACAACGATTTTAGGTCCATTCCTGGGAGGAATGAGGCTGCAGCACTCACCACCGCAGTTTGTTTCCTTTGCCACCCGCAGTGCGAGGAGCTGTCGCCTTTCCAAATGCCACACAGAATCTGTCATTTTATATTTAGCAGAGGCTGTGAAATCGCACTTCAGCAATAATGCATTTAATAGAAACACAATAAACTAGTAACTGAACAGGTGACAAGGTTAGATGGACAACACTGGTCTTTGTATTGCATTGTATTTTACCAAGTGCATTACCACAGGCAGAGGTCTTTGTCAAAACAGGCCTTATATAAAGAGCTCTCAAAACAAAAAAACAAAACCAGATCACCACAAAGGTGTATGTGTCTTTCTTTTTAACAGTCTCCATAGACAGCATCATCTGGAAGTTGCCTGGGGAAAGCTGAAGGAGGATCTTGCATGGAGCACAGAGATTAGGTAACCTGGGAGAAAGGAAGCTGTTCCTGGTGGATTTGTGTGCGTGTGTGTGCGTGTGTGTGTAATGAGACACTTGTCAGTTCTTCACAAGTGAACCTTGTGTTCAGGGAACTCACTTCAAAGAATTACTTCAGATGCTGAAAGCATTACATATATTTTATAAAAACAAACTTGCAGTAAGTCTCAAAAAGAGCTGTCTAGGTGCCTGTCTCATATTGAAATCTGTAAAGCACAACAACAGTTACGTACGTTGCCATATTTACCAGCTATCCCAGATTTCTAAACCCGCCGCGTTTGGCTGGAATGACAAGTTGTCTATTCTGTGAAGATCAAGCTTTTCTTCTAGCTCATCAGCACACAACAGCATTAACACGGTGAAAAGGAAGTGGATTATAAGATTACAGTGATGAAGCACAAAAACCATTAGGGAAAAATATATAGCTGACAATAACAGGAAGTCATAGTCATGGCTGCTTTTTGTTCGTTTTAAATGGAATGTGTAGTATTAGTAATTGTTTTTTAAATGTTTCATTACAAAACAGAAAAAAAAAAAAAAA